AGTCTGCGGCCAAGAATCTTATTGCCAACAGTTCAGAACTTAAAGGTATCTTTAAAAAAAAAAAATCCAGCTATCAACAATTTTAGGACACTTATTTGAACAGTAAAGTCTCTGCATGGAAATTTTTAGTTAATGGTTTTATCACATACAATCAGGTAACTGATAGGAGCTTACTAAATTTACCGTTCGGAAGGATTTTTCCCTCATTGGAGAAAATTGATAGAATAATTCAGGTTCTAGATAAACAATAAGATCTTTGAAAAAATGGCCATCATTGTGTTTGCCTGCGGGAGCTGATTCAGTATACTAAATTCTTCAGTGACTGAACTTCTGGAAATGTCTTTAAATAAAAGTGGAATTGGTTAAAATATACGTACGAACATGTGTTTTCGCAGTCTTGCTTGTATTATTGCAATTCAGAAAGTTTCTATAAAGTTCCAGGTGAACTTTTTAAAATAATTTTTAAAAAGCAAGAGTCAAAATATGAGTAAATCTCAGCTATTCAATTCTTGTCTTTATGTTGAAAACTAGGAACAGATGGTACTTTCCATGTTACTTGACTCTGGTTATTGAACACCTCTGTGGTTACGGGAGAATTTTGCTTAGCACTTTTAACATACATTTCATTTATTGGACTATAAAATGCTACTTTGGAAAAACAAAGTCTTTATATAACTCTAATTAAAACAATCTTGCAGCGAAACCATTTAACGTGGAGAACATGCTTAACCTCATGACATCTGGACAATCAATCCTTTTCTTTTTAATGGGTATTTATGAAGTTATTAAAATTGTAAAATCACTGATGTCCTAAGTGAAATATAATTTGCCTGTAGTTCAGAATAACCTCATCACCTTCAATACTTCGTGATATAAACATTCTAGACCACCTTCAATTGTTTTAATGCTACTTTAGCCTTGCACAGGAATTCAATAGCAAAGCGGGTCATACATATTCTCAGAGGTCAGCAAGTTCACACAGAAAGCTTTCCTCAGCCAAAGGGCAACACCTCTTCACCCAGCTTAGAAAGCACTGTCACACTACTAGACAGCGCTACAGCACGTTAGAACCTTGAGCTGTGCTTATTGTTAGACACCCATAGTCATCAATGATTTTAACAGCCAAATCCCTTATGTAGCTTTCAAAACAGTTTGCTATCAAACAACAATGGACATTGTTCTTTAATTACAGCAAGTGACCTTTCTGCCCTTTTATTTCACATTGAATAGACTACACCCAAGAAGTAGTGTTTGTAACGCACAAAATATATGGAAAGCATATCTCTATAAACTCATTAATCAGAACATGTTCTTCAGCAATTTACAAGCACTTATAAAATGTGCATAGAATTCCCTGATTAAGTGTAAAACCAACAGCTATACGAGAAGAATAAAATAAATGATACCAGCCACATGTGGGTTAATTCACTGAAGACAACATTCAGATGTGAAATACCGTCTTAATGAAAGCCAATAAACCAATACAAGAGAAGTAAATTCCATTCTGGAATATTACCAGATTTATTAATTTTAAAGATAGAAGATAGCTAAAATGTTGCTGTAGACTTTCTGTATTTCTCCCCCCCACCTCCCTAAACAAACAGAAGGTTTTCATAATCCATGCTTAGTATTCCCATGTTTTAGGGTCTGTTGTGAGCCCACACACACACAATAAACAAAATCTAGGACATAATACTACTGATAATCTGAACATTTCTCAGTGTAAGAGCAATTAAAATTACAAAAGTGTAATATGGGTGAAGAGTACATGTTGACCAACATTTACGGAATAATTGTGCTTAAAAAAATTAAAGGGTGGAGAAAAGGGCAGGTTTTAACACCAAAAATCTTAGGAGTGGTTAGCCTACCTGTCAAATCTACCTATTCAGACATGTCACTGGTGGCTTAACCACAAAATGGGCTTCATGAATATAGCTCAAACATCTTAGAATTATAGCATACTTTGACTTTATCCACATATTAGGGGAGTGGCGACTTTTACAACATACTTGTGGTTTCTGCATAAAAGAGCCAGCAGAACACAGTCATTGATTTAATTAGACTTCATGAAATCCAATTTATCATGTTTTACATGACATTCTGCAGTAAGGAAACAGAATAAACAGACCAAAAATAGACATTTGAGCATACTGTGAAAATTAAACAGTGACTGCAACTCTTGGGAATCTACTCCAAGCTTTTAACAAAGAGTAAACAAACACAATAAAATATCCTCCAACACTATACAAATTTAAAACCTGAGTTTCTTTGTGGGCATTAACTAATTTGTATCTGACAAGACATTATTCAAATTTACGAGACAACTCATTCATAAACATTAAAACAACTGGAAATTGATTTTAACAGCCAGGCTTGAAAATTATATAGTTATCTACGGTCACAATGGTGCTTTTTGGGCATGTCACATCTATAGATACACGTGTGTATAGCCAAAGCAGAAAAAAAGATTCAATCTTAAATCCTTAAAAAAATTCTCTTGAATGATTTGCAAGTCTTTTTTAAAACTGAAGTTTCATTGATCGCATAGGCTGGATCTAAAATTGCAACCAATGTCTGCAGAGTTCTATTTTCAGATGCCAAGTAGGAGATGTTCTTTAAAGAAATTGCTCTCTGGAGTGAAACACTAAGGGATGTTGTTTAAAACAGTAAGCCAGCACACCAGCGTGATAGACAATGGCCAGCACTGCAGGACTCTAACGTGTGAAGCCTATATTAAAGTCACTGTGTGCCAACAGCAGTGGGTGTTAGTGGAATTGCAAGCGCCGAGAATTCTATAAAGCCAAGAGCTGGAAAATAAGGTGTACCTTTGGCTCAAAACTACTCCTAACATGTTTGTTCTTAATTTACCTATTATCCCATTTACATTACACTGACTGAAGATTACTTGCATGTATATGAATTCATTCTTCATACAATTTCCTGTGAGACTAGAGTGAAAAGAACACAAAAACTGAGAAACCACACTACTCTCTAATCTCTGTTGCCATGACAGCAAGCCTTTGAGATACTGAAATGTTCAGATTGCCAGCTAAACAAAATTGTTGAATGTGAACATTTGGCTGAAAGATTAAAAGGCTAAGGGGGTTGCAAAAGGGCAGTACCTCCCACATTCCAGGCAGCCACTGAATCCAATCAAATGGCTCTGACTCTTTAACCACAACCATTGTGAAGACTGGATTAGGGCAATTTAGCTAGATAGTTAAAGCAGATTAGAGAACTGCAATTTGAAGACTACTGGTAACAAAAGTAAATGCCTACTATATGTACTAAATTAGTAAAAAGACCATGGGATTTTAGCACACCTTTCAGAGTGATCAGAGTGCAAATTTACACCTGTGAATTAACTAAAGCAACCTACTTTCTCTCATCTGTATTTAGAAAAGTCAAACAAACAGATTCAAGAGTCTTGTATGAGGGGCAAATGTGAATTTCACATTTGTAGGTATTTTTTCACTTTTAAGATAATATATCTAGAGGTCAATTTGAATTATCTATCTTTACATTTTCTTAACATATTTAATGTCACAACCCCCAAAAATCTAATCCTATCAATAGCCCAAGAGTTTGTTGAAGCATTACACAATCTTAAACATCAGCAATGACACACAAAAAGAGGCTCATAATGCGTTGTAAATAGCATAAATTTTCCCAAGGACTTCACTCCATCTGGACTCTGGTAAACAATTCTGTACACTTAATACTAGCCAGAAAGTTTTCCCATTACTTAGAAGTCAGTCAGGGAAGTTGTAAAGGCAAGTAATTTAAGACCAATTCCAGAAAATCATGCCACAAGCTAATACCCTTAAGGTTTTTTTTTGGAGGGGGGGGGTGTCTTTGTTTAACCCAACCTGTAGAATTCATTTGACTCTTAATTATGGACCAACAATACCCCCTATATCCTAGAGAAGAAACCTTCTGCCCTCTGGATAGAACAATTGCTGCAGACACTAGAACCTGCCTGAACGAGCAATAACAATAGCCAAGAAAACCAGCTCTTTCCCCACCCTCCCCTAACAATACAAGGCCATTTATTCTTAGAGAGAGCATCCTTTATGCATTAACAGAAAGGAAGGAGGGGGGGGGGAGAAACACACACACACACCACTTGATTTCTTTCACACATTTCAACCACTCAGCAAACAAGAAGTTCACAGCCAAGAACCTATAGGGCTGAGATAAGAAAGACTGCCCTGACAGGAGAAAACTGTTCCCCCACATATGAGAGAAAGATATTTTGTACATATATCATAGTACAAGGTGAACTCCCCTCCCCCAACTCCCTTCCTCCAGGCCAATTATTACAGGCACTAAGTGTCTTCTGGCTCAGTGCTCCCCATTCCCCACGCCAGCTTCCGAGGCCTCTTGGCTGCTGTAAACACAAGAGCCCCCCAATACCAGAAAGACCCTAGACTAGAGTAGATGGAAGAGCCAAAGTATCTGCGGATACATCTCTCCTCCCTGTCTCAATCTAAAGAGAAGGGTGTGGAGAAAGGATGTGAATTTCCTTCCACCTTGGCAGAAGGAACATCCGCTTTTATACTAGAGTGCACAATAAAAAGGATAGTAAACAAAACCCAGGCAGCTAGGTCTGAGCCACGCAAACAAGCCTCCAGTCTGCAAACACGTGTCCTCGGGGGTTGCAAACATCACTTCGGATTGTTACACTAATAACAGCCCCATCAGGAAGGGTCATTTCGAATTCTCCTTTAAAATAAACAAAGGAGGAGACACGACAACACGAAACATACGTTTGGCCACATTTGGGAGATAGTGGGGATGGGGGGGGGAGAGAAATTAAAGACAAGACGAAAATAAAGCTCCAACGTAGCAATTTCTGTCCGGGAGTGGGGTTTGTACACACAGTTTATATGTATATCACAAACGCATAACACCAATAACAGGAGCTAGGAACACAGCTGCGGGAAGTTTGTAATAAACACATGGGGGGAGATAGCTGGGGGAAGAAGAGCTTGTCCTACCTTTTCTGTTTTCAATTTCTTGATTCGCCTGTGGTTCTCCTCCTCCTCCTCTTCCTTCTTTACCAAAATAGAGTTCCCCATTAACCCTGAATCCGGGGTGCTTTTGCTCACCTCCCCCACCGTGGAGGAGGCGCAGTGAAAGGGGCTGTTGCTCCCACCACCGCCTCCCTTGGCCCCGAAGCCATACAGGTGCCCAGAGGGAGCTTGGCTGCTGCCACCCCCACCGTTGGGGTGGCCCTGCTGCAGGTCATGCTGCTTGTCCTTCCTGGATTTCCCCGCATCCTTATCCCGCTTGGAGCCTCTGCTGCCCTGGGTTTTACCTGGTTTCTCTTCTTTGTTTTTCCCGCAAGAGGCAATAGGGTTGTTGTTGCTGGTGTTGTTATTATTGCCGTTTGGGTTGCTGCTCACACTTTGACCCAGTGCTGAATTCATGCCAGTTGCCTCTCCAGGGCGCCCTTGGACTTCCTGCCTCTTGCCAGCACTGCTGATCTCAGGAATCCCATACAAGGCAGCAGAAGGCAGAGATTTATTAGCATCCTTAGAAGTTTTACTCCTTTTCACTTTTGATTTGCTAGTCTCTTTGTGAGAGGAATTCCCCTGGGGGGCAGGGGGCTGAACAGAAGCAAATTTTAGGCCATCAGCTAAGGCTGAGGTAGCATTAGCCCCACTGGAAGCCAGACCCCCACAATCCTTGGAGCTAGTACTGCTGCTGGTGGTGGTATTGGTGGAATTATTCATCTCAAATTTCTGTCTGTCCTTCTCCAAATCGGCGTCCAAATCGATTATTAAATTTCCAACCCCGATTTCCCAATCATCGCCACTGTCATAAGTATCAACCGCGTTTGGATCCACACCTTTGCATGCAGTGGAAGTGTTCACTGACATCCTGAAGATGAGATCTCTAGAATAAAAATCCGATGAACTTTCCTTTGGAGATGAGGGGACATTCGTTTATCTCCGTTGGGCTTTTCTTTTTAAATTATTATTTATTTAATTCTTCTTATCTTCCTCCCCCTGGTATGTCTAGGTTTATACCCTGAAGTCCAGGTCCACCTTTTCCTGTGAGGAGGGGAAAAGTGGAATATTTCTTGTCTGGATATTACCAGAATATAATACGATTAATATAGGGGGCAAAAGAGAGGGGGAGCAAGATCATTCAATATCTCCACGTTTTATTTTGTTTTAAAAGTTGTTAAATAGGAGGCAATTGCTTGTGATTATTTTATAGTGAACAGCTTGAATCTAGTTGTACCCCAACATCCATGATCACTCTTAAAAAGTCATGTATCCCAAAAATAAAAAAAATCCACCCTAACTACATGATTTAAATCCACAAAGTCAGGGACATACAGAGTTAGGGCTGGTGACTAGCTGTTGGAGCACATGTGTAATATAAGCTCCTGGACCACCACTTAGACACAAAAGCGAGAAAGGAAGGACACAGCTTCACTCCTCACTGCATTCCTTGGATTTTGTGGCTTTACACCAGACCCTTGAAGTTTTGTGACTTTTCTATACTATCTTTTACCCCAATTTTACTTAACCTTTGGGGGGGGGGCATGAAGCCTGTTTTTCATGAACCTAGGATATTTTCCATTAAAAATCAACAACCTATACTTTAAATGGTGCATTTACTTAAGAAATATCCAACTCCATGGGTAAAAAGTGTCTTTTCTTTTTAAAATATACCCAAGATAATTCTAAAAGCAGTTTTAATACACTCCTAGGTTACACAATTGCTCAGTCTGTTAAATATGGTCTTACTGACTGTACAGGAAACTGATTAAGACATACACTTTAAGTGATCTGCACCAAGGTGGCCTCAATGACCGCAAATGAGTGTGTGTTTGACAAAGCTTAGTTAAAACAATTTTTAAAGGGATCTATTCCTTTTACAGTTGACTGTCTCAATATTTATACATATATAGGCATATTGCTTACCTTTAATCCTTTATCATTTTTAATTAAATCAGAAAATCAAAATGCTGTTCCCATTCGACTCAGCAACAACTGTGTGCCTCATTTTACTTAAAGAGCAAAGTGATCAAGAAGTAGAAAACAAATAACATCTCAGCCAGTATAATCGCTCAAAAATATATCTCCCCCCATTTTGGCACACGGATCAGGAGTCCTTTATTTGTGTTGGTTTTCCTCCTTTCTTAAAAATGTTGTTCCTCAACTTTACAAGCTGGAAGGTAATATTTCACATTCAAAACAGGAGCATCAAGGACCAGGGTTTTTTGTTTGTTTGTTTTTCTTAACAAGCACCGAGATGTAATAATAATAATAATTTTCAAATGTTTTCCAACTTCACATTCCGTCTTCAACTCCAGACTTCAGAGCCATCCTGATCAGTAAGTAATGATCCCATGAAACAAACCTACAGGCGTCCGGTTGTTACAAGACAGAATGTGCTAACATCGGGATAAATTAGTGAAAGGGAGGAAGGAAAAAAAGAAGAAAGGACTGAAAATCTGGGCTGGATTCCGCCTGTTAGTCGGGAAGTGGCATTTTTTTCGCCGGTCCTGACAGATCTGATTTCTTGAACTAACTTAAGGGGGAAAAGGAAGGGGGGGGAGGATGAGGAGGGAAAGGGGGGGCGGAGAAGAGGGAGGGGGAAATCAGTGTTCTGATAATCCAGTTATCAGAACATTTCGTGGGAGTGGAGGAAAGAGTGTGTTTTAAAATTAAGTAAATCTTCCCAAGGGTATGATCTGGGGATTTTTTCCCTTTTTTCTTTTGTATGTTGTAAGAAAATAGCATCTAAACTGCGGGGGGAGGGAGGGAGAATCCGGGAGCTCAGGCTAATCAGTCATGTTGTAAGTAATTCAGTAATTAGAGACCAAAAAGATAAAATAGACTTTTGTTTTTTGCAGGACAGATTTTTTTCCTTATTGTTTCAGCAAACGTTGCATCGTCTTTTTATTTATTACCCCTAATGCCTTCATCCCCTTTTTGCCTTTAAGTCAGATTGTCTCGGAGCTTGGCTTAGTATTTTTAATTAGCTGGCGTTTGGAAGCTAAAAGCTGTAATGAATTGTTGATGGATTGGAAAGGAGAGTTGGTTTGCTGGAAATGTTAGGGCAGGAGGGGGGATGGGCGAGTTACCAACAACCAACCATCTAAAAGGAGCGATTTTGTTACAGTTCAAGCCTTTCTCATCACGTGACGATCAAGGGCTCAATTGGTTGTCGTGAGAACAAAAATGGGTGACAAGCGTATCAAGAAAATACTGATCTGGTCTTTAGGAAAAAAAACTTAAGGTCTGTTTCTCTCCCTCCCCCTTCTGCTGTTGGCACAGCTACAAGTTATGAATGTGAAACATTTCTCTCTGCGAACTGGGTCTCTGAAGTTAGGAATGAGTGAAATGTACTGAACACCATGGCAAAGCATATGCTTTAGAGAAACACCTTATAAAACCTTTCCTCGAGTTATCTGCAATTTGTAGTAGTTTAGAGACACAGGATGGGGAGGTTATTTCAAGGTTTTAATGTCTTCGTATATAAAACATAACTAAACATTTGATATCTTCCAAGTTAGTCTCCATTCTAAACCCACGGTAGAATGTGTTTGGGGGATGGCTGGCTTGGGGGCTGGGGGGGGGGGGAGGAGGAGGGGAGGGAAGAAACGGTCGCTGCACCACAACATATGGGCGTCACTATCCCCTAATTTAGCATTACATTATTGGTATTAACATGTGACAGAAGCAAAAAAAAAAAAACCCTCCTGCTCCACTAAGCTATTTTTGTACCCCTAAGGTCCTATTAACAAGTTGTTTGCTCATTTTTAAGGGGATTGGGTGGAGAGAGAGAAAAAATATGCTGGCTGGCCTGTAGTTGTGTCACTTTGATTTTCCCCCTTGGTTAGTTTAAAAAAAACCAAAAAGGTAAAAACGCCCCCCTCCCCCAGCCGAGTGCACCGTCAAGTATGATTTGTGTGAGAGGCTATAATGCTTTCACCCTCACCTTCATATCCCTTAGATAACTCAGCCTACTCGTGTTTTTTTGTTTGTTGTTTTAAAACACAAATAACTAGTTCCTTATTTCAATGCACAAAACTCATAATACTCCCCTTTGCATGAAAAAATCCCCTCTAAGTGCTATACACACACCACGCAACCGTACTTACGATCTGTATTGGATCGAGTTGACCTTTTCCTTCTAACTGCATTGAGTGTGTTTTTGTTGCAGCCGCTTTTTATTTTTGGAAAAAAAAATCTAATTTCTTCAACAGATTTATTGTGTTTGGAAGAAAAGAGCACCAGATTTCATGAACCTTCCTTTTTAAAACAAAATTAAAAAAATAAAAATCCCCCTACACACATATACACACACACACACTACACAACAAGCTGGCTTTACTGCAATAGTGAGCAGCAAAAATCAGAACTGGAGAAGGGAGAGTGTGAAGCAAGCACAGACTCTGTACCTGAAAGGGACTTTTCTTTGTTCCCAATGCCCTTTCCCATCTGCCCAATCAAAGACCAGCTTTTATGAAACCGGGCTCTCTGATTGGCTAGCTGCTCCTCTCGGCTTCCGAAGGGGGTGAAAGGGAGAAACACACACGCATACATACATAGAAGCCTTGTATTTTGCAATCCTCAAACTACATTTAGTGCTACAGCAGGCAGCCTCCTGCTGCAGCAAGATACAAATCATGTTTCCCATTTCAATTACAGCATTATCCTATATAACATTTTATGTCAAGACAACCAAATAGGGAGGCGAGCAGCCCAGCCAAGCCTCACACAGTGGGAGGAGAATTTCCTCATTTTCTTTTTAATTTAATTTCAAGGCAGTTTTCAAAGCAATGATGGATGATTTTTCTGTTTCAAAGAGGCAAATTAAAATCTCACTCCGTTTTTATATGCCCCCTCATTCAAAATTGTAACATTTTGACACGAAACCGAGAGAGAGAGGCTGTTACGTGAGTGCGATCATTTTCATGTTTAGCGAAGGAGAAAAGCAAACAATGTCTTAAGAAGGGGAGGCTCAGCAAAGAACAGAACTGGATTCCATTCCTCCCCCTCACCCATCCCTGCGTTAGAGGGACACTCAAGGTACTGCAGCGTGTTCGGTTTGTCCTTATTCCTCAGCCTAACGCTTGTCCCTTCCTCAGAGTTTATTTCATGTTCATTTTTACAATATGACTTACAGGAGACAATGCGGTTTCTCTGTTGTTGAAAAAAACACGTAACCCTTTTGTTTCTAGTTTCCTGATTTAGTGCTGCAAGCACTGAACTGTGAATGCAAGCGACCATATAACTACCACGTGAACAACACCCTTTCACAAGAATCAGTAACACAAATCTTTTCTAGCCGGCTTTGTCTTGCATAAAAAAAAGAGAAAAAAAAATCTTAATCAGTTCTTTTTAGGCTTAGATCCAAATGTGCTTTAAAATGTATTTGAATTTATTTAAAAACTTGAGTACGTTCCTTATGCTGCTTAAACTGATCGGCTTGCCAGGCATAGCCCCTCCCCCACCCACTCTGTACAGAACAATTTCTACATTGAAGGGACCCAACAAACATGAATATCTTGTCGAGAATTGAATTAACTATAGGACGAAAGGCTGATAACCCAGATAATGTGTCTCTGCGGTCACATATCATGAGGTTCATGGGGTCTAGCATGAAAATAATAGTTTGTATGGGTAATTTAATATTAAAGTCTATTAACTACCATGGAGTCTGGCTAACTGTGCGCTTTTATTTTTCATTTATGTCTCATTTCAAATCCTCTGTGTGTGTATTTGTGTGTGTAACGTATCTCACTCTGAAAATCAATATTGGACTTTTCTGTTGAATAGCTAATTGAAAATTTTGTCCAAATCATAGTTTCCGGGAAGAAGTTTAAAGCACGACATTTGTAAAACTGCATACAAATGACAATGTGACAAGATACGCTTTTGGACTTTGGCCAACTGAGCAAATTATGTGCATTAGTGCTTATATGGTCGACACTTAACATCAAAAGGATGTTTAATAGAGTATTTTCGGATGAGTAAACATTTTAGAACCTGCTCATTTCAGAAGTAACAGTTAAAGAAACATTTGGTTGAATAAAAATCACTTCTGATTTAGTTGTCTTACCAAAACACTAGACAGCCTCTGTCTGTTCTTTAAAGCCAAACTGGAGTTGATGCTGCAATAAACAACATTTTCCATTCTTCGCTGTGGCGAGTGCATACGTCTTTCCCCTCTGGCCGCATAGTGAATCACAACACGTCTGAATTATTGCTAATGTATCATATAAATGAGATCGTCTTTAAATGTAATGAAAGCTATATTTTAATGACCGTAAACTACAATAATGGGTCTTTTCTCCTGTTCTCCTTTCCCCAGCTATACTGAAATTTGTTGGGAGTAAAGAGTACACATCACGCCATATGTTGTTTGGGTAGCAATACTTAAAACTGCATGGAAGGAACGAGGTATGCTCCCCTGCCCTTTCTTTTAAAACATATCGCCTTTTGGTGCCAATAGAGACGGGTCTAATTTGCGCAGATAAGGTAATTGCCAGCAAGGCCCTTGATGGCATTAAACATTTTAAATTGTTTTTAAAAATACCAGTTTGCGTACACTGTAAGTGGGAAAAGGCATTTAAGGACAATGTAAAAGAATCAGTTGAGAATACTTCTTGGGGGTGAGAAGCGGGATTCTTGAGCATGGTTGTTATGTACGCAGGGTTTGCTGTGTGGACTCCCTCCCACACAGGCAATCTCACGATACACAACACTGTGCCAACAAAGTAAGTGCTTGCAAAGAGCCTACTTCCAATGAAGCAGTGCAATGCAAATCAGTATAAACACTGAAGAATACACAGCTACTCCTACCTTATAGGTCCTATAAATTGCTATGCACATCATAACTGTTGTGGATACTGTGGCATGGTCGTGAAATAGAGTGAGGAATGAAAATTTATTTTAATGATTTAACTTTGTGCTAGTGAAGCTTTTAAAATCGGCAACATCGAGGCTACTCCCCCCTCCCCCCACACTACTTAACGCAGATCACTGTTGCTGGGTTTTTTACAATATGTGTTTTACAGATTTAGGTAATAGCCCTGATTTTTCAAAATCGACCTCTGTTTAGACACGTTTCACTTTGGGCTGTTTCTTGTCTGCAAAATTACAGTCATTTGCACGTTATTATTACAGTGAGTAGGAGACAGATTGTATTTAGCATTGGGTGGGGGAAGGGTTATTATGGGAAGTGATCTGCTACCGTCAGCACATAATTTCAGGCTGAAGAAAATTGCTTCTGAATGGCTGGTCTGTGAGATAGCCAAGGAATGGTCACTGGGAAAGATTGCAAAAATGCGCCCACTGCTTTATCTGAATTAGTCAACCATTCTACATTTTTAAAAGGACGGTCTATTGAACAGATGTGCAACTGAAGCAGACATTATATAGATGAAATAGCGTCACCTTACCCCGCAGTTCATAGGGGGGGGGGAGAAATACGTATAACTACATGGTTTGTGTCGTTTATAGACTGATTATTAAGAAGCTTTTTCGAAAGGAACAATTACACCGAGCCCATTGCCAGGGTTGCTGTATCTTCAGCACTCTCACGTGATGAGTGGTTGCAAAAAGATTGCTCAAAACAACTCCTTTCTGAAGGGGAAAATGTCCTTCATCCTAAAAGAATCTAACGCCCTCTGTATGAATGAACATTCAGAGATTTTTCCACCTTCATTAATTTCTGCCTGCTCTCCCAATTGAATTACAATTTTGTATTCCTGCACATTTTAAAAGACCCGCACGAGGCCAATAAACTAGTGATGTTTTTCTGAAATAGCACAACCTTTTCTAATTAAAGCAATTGTAGACTGTTATGAATCTTGAAGAAAACCTCACTCTATTTAAGAGGCCAGGCATATGCATCAAATTTGCTAAGCAATTTTACCAGCAAAAATCTATTTTTAGCAAAAAGAATTATAGGCTATTTTGTGAAACCCTTTGGTTGTTTGAAACCTATTTCTTGAGAACAAATGTTTCCTTTTTTCCCCCCAAAACAGCTTTTTAAGAAGATGAATTGGTACAATCAGAGAATATTTAACAAGCAACAGAAAGTTGTGTTGCCTATCTTCTCAGCAAAGCTCCTCTTTTTCTTTCCTTTAAAGGCTGAAGTGAGCCTGGAGTCCGGCAGCCAATCATCATTATGGAAATATGCTTTTAAGCCTTCTCATTGGCTGATACTCAGGCCAGTGTATTCAGTTAGCAGCAATACAGCCGAGTCTGCACACCGACCTCAGCCTGGTTTATGCCTTTTGTGGAGGAGCGAGTCAGGTCATCTTATTTTTCACATTCCCTGCTCTACAAAGCATTCTTTGTAAACAAGCAGTTAACCATGGAGAAACATATTAGCTATGTGCAAATATATTCCCACTGGGAAGATGTTAGTGTTTTTGTAACACTAGTCCCTCTGAAATGTCTGATTTTAAAAAAATTGTATTTTTAAAAATTATTATTTTTTAAAATGTTTGAACAAAATCTTAATTTCAGCTGGGTTTTTATTGTCTTATTTTATTGTCTAAAAATAAGAGAGTCCCCGACTGTTGCTCTTTGTTTCTGATTTGTAAAAGGACTGTGCAGGATTTTTTTTAACTAAGGGAGCTGAGAGGTGTATATGTGGTGACAGTGTCAATGCTAAAAGTACCATAGCAGCAGTAACTAAACCAGCATTTCTTCTTTTAACCTGGCATCCATTTTCCTGTTAATTAATTTACTAGTGGAATTAGGTAAAAGTAGAATGCAATATTGTTGTATATAGCAACTTTTATATACAAGACACACCATAGCACTCTTGAAAGCAATAAATTAGATACCTGTGGGGCAATGATTATATAGACAACTAGAGTTAGCCATTATACACTTAGCAAATAGTTCATAAACAGACTTACACAGAGTATATTTTACTGAAAGAGAGTATTAGCTAGGTTATCCCCTATTCCTTTAGAACAGTCTTTAAATTTCACCTGAATAAGCATAAGGTATCTCAGTTTAATGTCTAATCTAAAGGTCTAATTATGCAGGATGCAGATAGGTATTGCTGTGCATTGTATATGACCACAAATCACCTCAATGGAGTTTAGAGAGGGCAACAAAAATTATCAGGGGCTATGCATCTGTGATAGACAAGAGTACAGCTAAGAGTCGGGGGCTGAAAATAATAGAGAACAATTCAGCTGAAGATCAGGAAAAAAATCCTGCCAGTGAGATGTATTAATCTATGGAATCACGTCTCAAAGGAAGTTGTTAAATCCCATTGCTTGGGACTTTAAAACTAGGTTGGACAAAACACTAGAAAAATATTCTGTAGGAAGCAATCCCATGCTAGCAATGAAATGGACTGAATGATCTAATAAGCCTTTCTCATTTCTAATTTCTGTGATTCTATGAAATCCTGCAGTAGAATTTGAGCTACTGACCTTTTGACCCAGATATGAGTGATCCAGCAATATAGATACTCCCTTTTTCAAATAATTTTAAAACTATATTAGTGTATTTTGTAAGTATTCAGCTAATTTTAAAAATACATTCTATTTACCCAGTAGATTGTGCATGATAAAGAAAAAAATTTAAATGTACATTAGACTTTTCTTATAGATCTAATATATTATGTAAGCAATTTTTGTATAGCATCTTTCATACAAAACATCACAATGCTTCATAGTGAATTACAGTCTGTAATACACGTGATGTATGAACGTACAATATTTTATACAGGTAGTATTCATAGTTATTGTAGTGCTAAGGTGAAGAAGCATACAAAGGCCAATGGGTGAGTGCCACATTTTAGATTTTCAGGGAGAACAAATGAGCATGGGGAAATGAAACTAAGGCGTAGGGAATAGGATTAGATTGTTTTATTAGAGGGAAGTCTAGAAGTCATAGGCCAGGGAGAGAGATGAGTTTTGAATTGGAATTTGCAGAGTGGTGGTCAATTAGGCATAGGGAATCTATACTAGAAAATGAGGGAGAGGGATGTGTTGTGCAGTGTAAAAAGAGGGCAGACAGAAATCTGACACTGAGTGACCTGAAGGAATGGGACAGGCAATGGAAAGAGATACAATCTGATAGTACATATTTGGAATAAGATCACAGTGACTAGGAGGCAGAGTGTGTACTAAAATTTGAAATGAAGAGTGAATTGGTGAAAGTTTCTGAGTATGAGGGTAATGGGTTCTTACCACTGAGTAGGCGGGAGAAGACGAGCTGCTACATTTTAGACAGAACAAAGTTTGGAGAGTTGTGACAGTGGAATTTCAGCAAAGAAGTTATCAGAATGTGTTTAGAAAGTAACAACTGGCAGCCTGACAGGCCTAATAAGTTGGGGGGAAGTAGGGACGGGAGAAACTCAGAATCAAGATGAATACCTGAGTTCCTGATAGCAGGGGTGAATGACATTAGAAGCAATCTACTAGAGGCTACTATATGAGCCTCGTGAACATGCAACCATGCCTTCCTCTCTGCTCCACTCTTCTTACTGATCATCTGCTGGCTCCCTTGCTACAATGGGACAAGGAGTAGAGAGACACAGGGACGGAGGACTGTGGGAGAGAAATGGGAGACGGGAGACTGGACCATTGCAAGAAGAGAATTGTCTGAAAAGGTGGGGAGAGAAAAGATAATATGGCAGACAATGCAGAGGGGGGAAAACAACAAGAGATAGGAGAGATTGGAACCAAGAGAGGGAAAGGGAGGAAAGAAATGGCGCGGGTACAAAAAGAGGAAGAATGATCTTGTGGTTAATGCACAGCACTAGGAGTCAGAACTCCAGAAGGTTACTTTCCTATTTCTCCAACTGTATGGTCTTGGGAACATCCTGTCACCTCCCCATGCCTCCCTGTTTTTAAAATGGGAACAAGACAATAATACTGACCTATATCTCAGATAGGTAAAAGTACCTTAAGATCCTCACTTGAGAGTATTAGCATTAATTTGCTATTCTTACGCTATGTCTAGACTGCAGAGCCTCTGATGGCGTAGCCCCTAAGTGTAGATGCAGCATATGGCAACAGAAGGAGTTTTTCTACCAGTGTAGGAACACCAAGAAACTCTCTGAAAAGCCATCTTCTGTCAGCAGAGCTACATCTCTTCTGGGGTTTTTGCCAGCATAGCTATGGGCTTGTCTACACTTACATTTTATAGTGCTCTAACTTGCTGGCTCAGGGGCATGAAAAATCACCCCCCTGAGCGCAGCAAGTCTGAGCGCTTTAAACCGCTAGTGTAAACAGGCCCCGAGCGCTGGGAGCCAATCCCCTCGTGGAGGTGGATTACCAGGAGCGCTGGGAGCGAGACCTCTCTCCCAGCACTCACGCGCGACCACACTTCACAGCGCTGCCGCAGGAGCATTCCCGCAACAGCGCTTTGAAGTTTCCAGTGTAGCCATGCCCTATGTCACTAGGGAATGTGCTTTTTTTCCCCACACATCTGACTGATGTAGCTATGCCAGTATAAATTTTAAGTGTATACCAGGCCTTAGTTAGGGGAAGAAAGGCTGAATCTGAAAAAAGCTTGTTCACTCCATACACTCCTTACGCCACTTAGAGTTTTGCAGCTATGCATTGATAAAGCTGGGGGGAAAAACCTAGCCTGGAGTATTGTGTCCAGTTCTGGGCATCAAATTTTAAGAAAGACCTTGAGAAATTGGAGAGAGTCCAGAGGAGAACAACAAAAATAATAAAAAAGTGTTAAGAAGCAGGACATAGGCAGTCTGGCCTAGTAGGCAGAACAGGAGTCAAGTACAGTGTGCAGAACACACGTCCAGGTCAGGGACTGGAAGTGACGGTCAGATCCAGAGTCAGCTGCCAAATACCAGAGCCAGGGGTTGAGCCAAAGTCAGAACCATGAATCAAAATTGATGATTGGGGCTGGGGTCAGCGACCAAATGCCAGAGCCAGTGGTCAGACCCAGGATTGGTAGCCAATGGTGAAAGTGCATGTCTACTGAAGGTAGCACAAGTGGTGATCAGCTTATTGTAGAGCAGAGGTTTTCAAACTGTGGTCTGTGGACCACCATTGGGCCGTGAGCTCCATTTGGGTGGTCCGCGGATAGTTCTCTCTAAGGTACGCACCTAGGTGGCCGTACACGAGAGAATGAAGGGCCACCCGCCTAATTAGTGGAGCCGCGCCAGGCAGGGCTCCATTAATTAGGTGACTGGACCCTGGAGAAGATGCACATATAAGGTGCGGTGGTGGCCTTGGGGGGAATAGGAGGTAGGTGGGAGGGGGCAAGAGGAATTTGGGACATGCAGGCTGCAGTGGCCAGAGAAAGGCGACTTTCCCCAGCTCCAGGGCTGCCGGGGAGAGACTCCCCTCCTTCCCAGCCTCAGCTCTGTGGCTGCTGTGGCAGGAGAGAGACCCTGCTCCTTCCCAGCCCCAACTTGGCGCTGCCGCAGTGAGGGAGTCGCCTCTCCTTCCCCGCCCCAGCTTGGGGGCTGCCACAAAGAGAGAGCACATCCATTGCATTAGAAAGGTAAGACTACTGATATTAAAATATGAGTTGTGTGCTTTTATTTGTAGAACAAAAAAAAATTATTAAGGTTTTTTTATATTGTGCTTTTATCCAAAGCGCTTTACAATAGTTAGCTAATGGTACAAACAATATTTGGAAAGATCATTAAGTGGTCTGCCAAGACCCTCAGCAATTTTCAAGTGGTCTGTGAAAAAAAACGTTTGAGAACCATTGATCTACAGCAAGGGAGTTTTAGGTCAGATATTAGGAAAAATGTTCTAGCTATAAGGATAGATATGTACTGGAATAGGTTACCAAGGGAGGTTGTGGAATATCAGTCATTGGAGGTTTTAAAGAACAGGTTAGACAAACACCTGTCAGGGATGGTCTAGGTATACATGGTCCTGCCTCAGTGCAGGGAAATGGACTAGATGAGTACTTGAGTGACTACAGACCTCTATTTAATTGATTCTATGAAAACTAGAAGAAGAAGGTGTCTAAGACCCCAGCAAATTCTTCCTAGTGATCAAGGTAGCAGTGGTGATGGCTCTATTTCTCTTATTCTATCTCTGTTAATGTTTTTAGCTTGTAAATTCTTTGGGGCAGGGATTGTCTTTTCATTATATATATATATGGCACCTAGCACAATAGAGACCTAATCCTTAGTTAAAGCCTTTATACGCTACCACAATATAAATAATCAATCATCATAATTAATTATCATTTTTATGAGGAAAGAAGGATAGTCTTGAGTTAACTTTGGGTAAGTTATTTAGGTCCTCATTTTAAAACAGTATGTACTATTGTGTATGCATCCAATTTGCATAAACAGAACACCTAGTCTGTTTACAATCTGATTTGCATACACATATTCCAGACTTGCATGCACATTTCTGCCATTGTGCATGCATGATCGGGAGCATTGGTGTGTGTGTGTGTGTGTGTGTGTGTGTGTGTGTGTGTGTGTGTGTGTGTGTGTGTGTGTGTGTGTGTGTG